AAAAAACGAGAATAAGACTAGCACGAATAACTCAGCTGAGATCGACATCAAAGCGTAAGAACGACTTTTGGGCAGTTTACATGTATTATTAATTCCACCCCAATGCATTGTCTCGATTTCGTAAAATTATGTTGAAATCATTTTGCAGAGGAATGCAACTAAAGGAGGCACTGCAGTTGCAGCTAGACGTGCAAAGGCGTCTACACGAGCAATTAGAGGTAGCTTGAATATTATTCTTCCAACTTATTACATCCTTTCGATAAATCTAAGGATATTATTACATGAACTTAATTATTTCTATTTGTTTGCTTTATCTTTTTATTTTTTTATTTTTTTTGGTGTAGATTCAGAAGAATTTACAGATGAGGATTGAAGAACAAGGCAAGCAGCTGAAAATGATGTTCGATCAGCAACAAAAAATAAATCAAGAAGATCGTATGGAAACAGACAATACAAAAAACAAATGTCCTAATAACAACTCGTTCCATATGCCCGAAGATCATGAGATTTTCATTCTAGAAGGTTCTGATGATGATATGGACTTCCAGTCGATGATAAGCTAGACAACATGCGAATAAAAGCGCTTAATTTTCTCCAAACACGACAACGGCAGGACACTATTCGTCAAGTCAATGAACTAATTATTTGTAATCAAAGAATGCTTTTTCTATTATACTATTGAATATGAATGTGGAAACTCAACATTTGTGACAAAAATGTAGTTCTGAAGTCTACAGGCTTTTCAGATGTGGATATGTGTCTGTATATAGCCCCTTGTTTGTGAAAATGCTTTAGAAAATCCTAAGTTATACAGATACTTCTTTTTCAGAAACATTTTTTTGCATCCCAAAAATGGTATTTGTGGTTACCAATTTCATTCATCTCATAGAATCATTTCTACTTTACTTTGCAATTGTGTAGATTTCACGTCTTGTTTGTTACATCATACATGTATACTAATATTTTTTTTTTTTTAGTTTTGTTTGCAGAAATGTGAAATTCAAATAAAATAACACATAAATCAAGCATAAACGAGTCATAAACAAAAAATTAATGTAATTTAGAAACCAATGAGAAAAATAAATCACAAATGAACATTTCTTAATCAGTAAAAGTTTGTATATTTGTAATTGAAAAAGAAAATCATTGATATACAAATTAAAAGGAATGTGTAGGCAAACGGAGTATTTTCTCCAGACGAACATATTTGTTCAGTTCAGGGCCATTTTTCCTAAATTTCACACGTGAGCAAAAGATTTAAGGCCCATAGTTATACATTTTATGACCGCAAGGTCTGACCCAACTCACATGTTCTAGGTTTGCCATTAGGCCCAACTGAAAGTCTGAAACTATTGAAAAAGCAAATGTAAAAGGTAAAACCTAAACTCTGTCATCTCTTCTTCAACCTCTCCCTCATATCAAAACCCTTTTTTTCCAGCAAGAGGGAAAAAAAAAAAGGCTAAAAAACTCACATTTTTGCTCAAAAAAGACGACCCCTGGAAGCATTCATGGCCTTAAAACTTCAAGAAATCCTCACAAGGTAAGAACTTCAGTTCAGAAGCCTTGATTGTTCTAAAAAATTGCCTTTTTTTAGCGACCACTTTTTCGCTTCAAGTCCGAAGATGAACAGATTAAATAAACGTATAATTTCCCATTTTTTCAAATGGGTTCCTTTATTATGCGCCAAAGATTACTGTATAGCTGCAAATTCTAATTATTATGTTACTGGGCCGCGTCATATTCTGCAACACCTTCGGTTTGCTTCAACGGAGAGTGCTTTGAATTTGAGAAATGGTGGCGGCAGCCCTCGTGAACTAGCTAAAAGATTACGTTCAACGATTGAAGAAGCTCAAGCTGCTTTACTAGATTATTTTCATATGACCAGGAGTTTACAGTTTCTGGATGCTGAGAATATGAGCAAAAATACTCCGGATTTTCTTGTTAAACTGTTGCAAAAGGTCAATGTTGATGATGGTAATGTTGAGCGCTTGGTGGCCCGGTACTTAAGGTACCATCCCGTTAATGAATTCGAGCCATTTTTCGAGAGCATAGGTTTGAAACCTTCCGAATTCTCATCTTTACTTCCGCAGAATTTGATGTTTTTAAATGATGACGAGTTGCTGATGGAGAACTATTATGTTCTGTGTCAATATGGCATCCCTCGTGGTAGGATAGGGAAGATTTATAAAGAGGCTAGAGAGGTTTTTGGGTATAATTATGGTGTTTTAATGTCAAAGCTTCAACCTTATGAGAATTTCGGGTTGAAGCAGTCTTGCATTGCTAAGGTTGTTGCTTCGAGTCCTCGTCTTTTGGTTGGTAGTGGAGTGGATCCTGACTTTGCGGAGTTCTTGAAGAAATTAAAGGATGTAGGAATTGAATACGACTGGCTTGAAAAGCATATTTCCATGAAGGATTCATATGATTGGAAATGCATGCTTGAGGCCATTCCCTCTTTACACAAACTTGGTTTGAGTGACAAACAATTACGGCGGATATTTACTTCACATCCGGATATTCTTCTCGAATCATCCGGACGAATTACGTTTCTCTTGTTCGGGTCCTTGTTGAAATTCGGGGCCACTTCGAACATCTTTCGAAAAGTGCTCCTCGAGTTTCCAAAGATTCGCCTCGTGAAATTCACGCGTAATTTCCTCCATTGCTATAAATTTCTAGTCGAAATCAACATGGACGCCCAAGATATCGGTAAAATTGTTTGTTCGCACGTGACCGTTTTGGGAACTTGTGAACTCAAGAAGGTGAAGAGCTTAACAAATCTACTCAACTGCGGTCGTTCCAGGTTGCGTCAATTGATCAATGACGACCCATTTGTATTGAAGAAATGGGTTCTCGGGCTGAAACTGGTCCCTCTTCCACTGGAGAAGATTGCTGTAGACGTAAGGAAGGTGAAAACCGAGTTCTTGGTGAGCCTAGGCTTTGTGGAAAACTCAAAGGAGATCAAAAAGGCTCTTAAGATGCTACGAGGCAGAGGAACCGAGCTTCGCGAGAGGTTTGATTGTTTGGTTGAAATCGGTTTGAGACGTGAAGACGTTATAAAGATGGTCAAATCGAACCCACATGTCCTTAACCAGTCAACCGATGTTCTTAGGAGCAAGGCCGATGCTCTTGTGAAGGAGTTGGGACTTTCGGCGTCCGATTGGGGTGATTATCCCAAAATCCTGTTGTATACCACCGCTCGCGTGAAGCTTAGGCTTTTAATGTATGCATGGCTTAAAAGAAAGCGGTTCGTTCGTGCGGGTTTGACCTTATGCACTCTCTTGTCGACCTCGGATGAAATCTTCGTGAAGGTTTATGTGAATCCTCATCGTGGTGGAAAAGTCTATTGGAATGGGCTGAAGAAAAGGGTGGGATCTGATGACTGACTGGATAATAGTCATTCATACATGGATCAGGTAATTGTTCTTAGTTTCACTTGTTCGTATATGTTTGTGTCGTCTGAAAATTATTCAAGATTGGGTTGGAATTGATTTGGCTAATGGTGAAGTTGTGTGTTGTGTTCATTTGTGGGGTTTTTATTTGTTTTTCAATATTACCTTTTGTTTCTGGAGTTGATGTTGGTTGGCATGGCTTTAATTCATGTTGAAGTTGCAGTTTTGTTTTCGGAGTTGATGTTGGTTGTCATGGCCTTAATTGTTTGTAGAAAAAAGCGAGATAAATTTGAGATTGTGAATGGATATGAGATAAAAATGTAATTAAGTTGATGTGATATAATAGTAAGAATAATATTGATTGATAAGATTGGTAGATAGAAATATATGAGTGGATGAAAATTGTTTTTCTTTGTTACAAAATATATAATAATGATTAATTTTTAATTTTTTTTATTGTATGAATGGGATTAGAGAAAAAAGTGAGATGAAATGAAATAGTTTTTTAAATCTTGACTGAACAAACAGAAACCNAAATTTGTTGACGCGAACTGGAAAACATCTGAAATCTTGTACCTGTGCATTTTTTAAGTTAGACGTTAGACGATAGGTAGTGATCGTGAGGTTGATAAAGCTGAGCTACTCTTTGTCCTAGTGTAGGATTAAAGTTGATTATTCATGAGATTGCAGTGCTAATGTGAACTCTGCCAATAGGAAAAAGGATTAGAGCAGCTAAATCCCACTCTCATCCACGAGAGAAGATTGTTGTATGGCCGGCATTTGTGGGCCGAGCCTTTCTACCAAGCAATAATTCATGGGCTTGCAGATCATCTGTAGCCAGCCCAACAAAGACATTGGGGACGTTATTGTCATTCGACACACGACAAATTTAGCTCATGTAGATCTATGTTTAGATTTCTAACTCTCGATAAACCTCAGTATGGAGTATTGATATTCCCTTTTCTTTTCCTTTTCACTTTTTATTCATAATGTGATAGGCTCGACTCGTTAACAACTCTAAGACAGTCTTAAAGCCTAACCTGAGAAGGTATATGGCTCTTCATGTTTTCTCCCCATCCAAATTTGAGAATATGGAGCTTAAAAACTGTTAGCTATTGAGCTCTTAACTCGTTTTTCTTCACTGATAGCTTACATAGAACATTTCCTTTAGTTTCATCCAGAGGACTGAAAAGTATAAGCCCAAGTTATACATTTGTAAATGTCATTTAAGAACTGTGATTTATTATTAATTTATTACACGTAAGAGTTGCAAGTTAGTCTTGTGCCCCTATGACATTGGTGCAATTAGTCTTGCAACTATCAAAATTGTAATTTACAACTTCAGTAGATGATAATACTTTCTTAATAAATATATATATATTTTTATATTGAAATGTCTTATATAAAATAATATAATACTCTTTATCCAGAAAGTACGATGAGTTAATCCATGTATCTGTTAGCCAACAAAATTTGTGAAAAGATCATCCTAAGACAATATGCGTATCATTTAAGAATACAAATCATTTTTATTGGAAAAGTAAAATTAGTTTAATTTTGTTCATTGTTTTGTTTATTAAAATGGTCAATTCAAAATTACTTTTTTCTTTTTCGATCAACTTAAATAGACGAATTCTAAGCCGAAATGAAGTTAGTATAAGTATTTACTGACAGAAAGGGCCCCCCTTTGTCCTAAGGCTTCAGTTAAGACTTTTCACAATAAAACAAGTCTGAGCCAGCTATGGGAGNTATTTATCTTCACAAAGTTATCTTGATGATGGAGTATTGCTACGAGCCTAAGACTGAAACTATATTATTTTTCAGTTATTTTTTATTAATGAGTTTATGGACTTATAATTTTTAATTTGGGTCAACAATGATGTTATTACTTCAATGGTAATGGTTCAATCTATTAATAATCCTGAAGTTATTTAAGTTCATAAATGTGTCTACAGATATACTTATATACTTTTTTTATTCTTTATTTCTTTTAATGACACTTTCTATTCACACAATGTATATAATATGCTAAGAATAAAATTATTGCTAGACCTGTACATATGCATGCGAATTGTATTTATGGGTGCTATAACGAGTTCTTTATTTGGTAGAGATAGGTTTATCTAATTATCTTCCAAACATGGCGAAAATCAAAGTCTTGAACCAAATTGTACGTTATCTTGTAATTATCAACCAATCATTATTAATCTCTCCCTTGCTACTTATGGGCAGTTTTCTTCTCTACAACTTATTGTCTTTGGACAGAATCTTACTTGTGTTAGAAAAAAAAATAAAAAAATAAAAATCTTTTGCATAATGCTGAAGGTGATGGTTAAATTTAGTAACCTGTTTGCTAGTAACAGGGGAAAATCTTAAAATTGGTCCTATAATTTGGCCACTGTCCAAAAAACCACCCCGATATTGACCACTTTCAATTTAGGTCCTATAATTTGTCGATTTCATCAATTTTGGTCATTTTTTATCCGCATCCTGAATTAAAAAGTGACGTTGCATGAAAAAAGGACCAAAATTGATGAAATCGTCAAATTATAGGACCAAAATTGACGTGTCACGTAGATCATAATCACGCCACGTAACATTGAAAAAGTGACACGTCATGCCACGTCACTTTGTAATTCAGGGGCGGATAAAACAGGACCAAAATTGATGAAATCGACAAATTATAGGACCTAAATTGAAAGTGGTCAATATCGAGGTGGTTTTTTGGACAGTGGCCAAGTTATAGGACCAATTTTGAAATTTTGCCCTACTAACAGTGTGCCTTCAGTTTCTAGATTACAACATTTTGGATATTATAATTCGTTGAAAAATGAGAAAGTGCAAATTAGTTAATGATTTTATTTATGTACGGACATCTTTATAGAGAACCGTATCTTATGCTTGGACTCGTGATCTTGAAACACCATATCGCTAGATTATTTGCATAGTGTGATGATCAAAAGATGAGAAAAGTCAATGTATATGAAATTATTGAATTTTCTCAACTGTTAAATTATAATCATTCATATATATATGTATAATTCAACTATTAAAACTCCATATGAGTAGCATGAATATTCCGAGGAACAACAACCAAAAATAAAAAATAAAAAAATTGGCATGTTCTATCATGCATCTATGCAAAGAGCATATATTTTACCAAAATAAAAACTACATGTTTAGTCAAGTGGACTAAAAAAGTTAGTCTTATCTATCACTATATAAAAAGAATAACATTTTTACAAATTTAGAAACCTTTTTTCGCCAAAATCATTAAATATATCCTACATCCTACATATAGTAATTGTTGGACAAATCTGAATAGGCAAATAAATTGGCTCATTAATTGTGTAAAAATTTGTTTCTCTTTTTCCTGTTTTTTAGTTTATCAAAATCGTTGTTTGACAATAAATATTTTTTTGTTCCTATTTTTAGTATAAATCTACACGAGCTTATCTCTTCTGTTACAAAATCTCATTGCATTTCTGTTACAAAATTTCATTGCATACGTCTCACGTGTTTAAAAAATCTCATCCCTTATCTATACAGATTTGAAAAAATAAAATAAAATAAAAACTAATTCATAATTACTACTAGAAATCCATTATCTTTAAAAAGAAAAAATAAAATAAAATAGAAACCAATTCATAATTACTACTAGAAATCATTCTCTACTCTAAGAAGCTAATTTTTATCGGTCTAATTACTAATATTTTTATAAATATTATAATATTTACTTTAAGAAGCTAATTTTCATTGGTCTAATTACTAATATTTTTACATATATTATAATATCTACTTTAAGAAGCTAATTTTTATCGGCCTAACTACTAATATTTTTACAAATATTATAATATCTACTTTAAGAAGCTAATTTTCATCTGTCTAATTACTAATATTTTTACAAATATTATAAGCTAATCATACAAAAAAGTATAATAATAATTTTAAAATGGTGTGTAATCAAATTTTTTTATATTCTCTTATACATAATAATTTTACATTGTTTGACTCCGAATCTTTAATATATAATTATTTTTTTTTTTTGGTACAATAAAGGAGGTCAACGGCCTAGACTCGGACTCGACGGGGATAAGACACCCCTATGATATCATGTTCTAACCAAGCACCAACACTTGGAGGAGGTGAGGACACACGTTGGACCCCAACCGGATGTGATGCCGCCAATCCCGCAAGGTGATCGGCTACAAAGTTCGCTTCTCGGTGCACATGTTGGAGTCGAACTATCCATTCTCTCTCGATCAAGTTTCGAATTGCCTTAACCAGCGACTCGTGTGCTCTATTAGCTCCTTGACGGTTATAAACCATCGTCACCACACATTGGCTATCGACCTCGACTACCACTTTTCGATATCCTTTATCCCACGCCAAGTGTAAGCCTTGAAAAAGTCCCCATAACTCAGCACCTGTGATGGTACAGTGTCCAATATTCATTAGAAAGCCCCCCATCCATCTGCCCATATCGTCCCGAACTAGTCCACCCGCACTGCTCAAACCGGTGAGGCAATTGAAGGCACCGTCTGTATTAACTTTCACCCACTCCGACTCCGGCGGGACCCACTGGATCATTCGTGTAACGTGGATTGACGCCCCTGCCTTCACGTATTCTGCTTGTGCTCGAGCATAGCTATTAGCCAGGTTTATTACTTCAGCTCTCCTTGCCTCGGCTGTTGGTGCTTTTTTATCAAAGATCCTTTCATTACGCCACTTCCAACTCCTCCACACCATGATCGAAAAAATACTGCTCCAGTTTGTAAAAAATCCTACCCGTCTCTTTATTAGGTTCTTGCGTATCCAAGTTTTGAGAGGTTGATGAAAGAATTCTCCATCATGATTAGTCGGTAACAATCTAATCCATAGGGACTTGGTGAACGTACAGTCTCGCAGGACATGGATAACTGTTTCATCCTCCCCACAGTGATCACATCCTACAGACGCCGCAATATGCCGTCTTACACGCTCAGAGTTTGTAAGCAAACGCTCATTGGCCGCCAACCATAAAAGAGTACGGGCTCGTTGGGGTGCGGGCGCATGCCATATAGCCTTCCATATAGGTTGGTCGGGGTCTCGTTCTCCACTTGATAAGGCCTTATATGCTGAGCTCGTGGAGAATTTTCCATCATCAGAAAAACCCCACATAATTCGATCTTCGCCTGCCTCGTCACTCGGTGGGATGGTACCTGCAATGCGTAAAATCACGGACGAGGGTAGAATGCCATGAAAGCTCGCCCACTTCCATCTTCCATAGTCATCTACAAATTCCGCCACCGTCGAATATACATTCGCTACGTGAGTTTGAGGATTCACATACCGCAAGAGCGGTCCCGTCGTACCAAGCCATGGGTCGAGCCAAAACCTAGCCGTGTCGCCATTTCCAATGATCCATCGCACCCCGTTTAATACCTTGGGCCATACCTTACTAAGTGCTCGAATTAAGCCCGAGCCCTGTCGATACGGAAGTGGGTTTAGAGCGGTCGAAGGATTTAGTCTGTACTTCACCTTGATTACTCTCACCCATAGGGGTACTGGGTTTGATAATAAGTCCCAGCCCAATTTCATTAGCATCGCCGAATTCATGCGCCTTAGGTCCTTTAACCCGAGTCCTCCAGCATCTCGCGGCTTGCATACGTCCTTCCAAGCTACCAAGTGTACTTTCCTTCTTCCGTCAGTCCCACCCCATACGAAGGCCCGACTTCTTCTCTCGAGCCCTTCGGAAATTGCCCCTGGTAGTACTGAAGTCTGCATTGAATAATAAGGCAAGGTACTTAGTACTGACTGAGTGAGAGTTACCCGACCTGCTAACGATAAGGATTTCATACGCCAGCCGGCAAGTCTTGATTCCGTCTTTTCTAGGATATGACTGAACATTTCTTTGGTGACGCGTCCATGAACGACCGGCACACCCAAATATTTGCCCAGGTTATCTGTAAGCTTGAAGTTAAGTACCCGTGCCAGCCGGCTTTGCTCCTGGGCTACCACATTATTAGAGAAATATACTTGTGTTTTTTCCGCACTAACCTTCAGCCCTGATCGAGTGCAAAAACAATCAAGCACGTTGTACAGAACAGATGCCTGGTCGTCCGTGGCCTCTAAGAAAAGGAGTAGGTCGTCGGCGAACATGAGGAAAGGCACCTTGACGGCACCTCTACCCACTGAGATTGGACGCCATTCAAGTGCATCAACCGCCTGACAGATACTCTGAGCCAACCTCTCTATGCAAAGGACAAATAAATACGGAGATATGGGGTCGCCCTGACGTACACCTCTAGATGGTCTAAATTCCTCACCCACCGTCCCATTCCATAGCAGGTTCATCGATGAGGAGTTGACACATGCCATGACTGCTCGAACGAGTTTCTCAGGGTACCCAGCAAGTTGCAAGGTTTCTTCAATGAAATCCCATCGAAGGTAGTCGTATGCCTTCTCTAAGTCTACTTTAATTACCATGAATCCTTTCGAGCCACGTTTCACTCGCATTGTGTGGATTAACTCTTGTGCAACAATGATATTATCTGTGATTTTTCGCCCGGGCACAAAACTGGCCTGTGCTGGGTGAATCAAAGCTGAGAGGGTTGTCTTCATTCGGTTCACCAGAATTTTGGTGAAGAGTTTGTAGATCACATTCAGTAGGCTAATTGGCCTATACTGCTTGATGGTGGACGCATTTTCAATTTTAGGGATCAAAACTAGCAAGGTGCGGTTCACTCTGGCCGGAACTATACCCTCATGCCACATTTGCCTAATAAAGGTACTAACTGCCAGGCCCACTATTTTCCAATTTTTTTGAAAGAAGAGGGCGTTTAGTCCGTCTGCTCCTGGGGCTTTTAATGGCCCCATGTTGTGTAATGCTAAGTATATTTCTTCATCCGTAATATCGTCCTGCATGGATTGCATTAGGTTGACATCACAGACAGGGAAAAGGTTTGGCGTATCTCCACTCGTTTGTGGGCCTGGCCCGGCAGTGTAAATGTTCTTAAAGAAATCCGTTGCTAAGCGGCGTAGTGTGGCCTGATCCGTTATTTGGGCGCCCCTGGCATCCGTCAACTCGGTTATTTTTCCACGCCTTCGCCGGTGTTTAATTTGCCGGTGATAATAAGATGTGTTTCTGTCACCCAGGTAGGACCACTCCCTCGTAGCTTTTTGTATCAACAAAAGCTCTTCTTGTCGAATCACATCTTCTAGTTCGGCACGGAGTTTCTTCTCTAGGCCGGCCAGCCGATCATTGAAGTAGGATTGTTTACATCTTTGAATGCCTCCAATACGCGCCAAAAGTCTTTTTTTCCGGTGAAAGATATTGCCAAATACGTTGAGATTCCACTCCTTGGCATCCGAAGCAAACTTTTCAGCCGCCGCTATATAGCATTGAGAGGGCTTCCACGATTTTTGCAGCATATCCGCAAACCCTGGATGGAGGAGCCATGATGCCAGAAAGCGAAAGGGTTTCTCTCCATTTAAAGAGTGGACAAAACGGCCAAATCCCAATATGAGAGGGGAGTGGTCGGATTGGACCCTCGGCAAGAGTCGAGACTTGCCCAGTTCAAACTTGTCAAGCCAGGGTATATTTGCAATGAAGCGATCTAGCTTCTCGGCTATCCGTCCAAATCGTGTGTCACGAACCCATGTGAACGAATGTCCATCCGTTTCAACCTCTTGGAGACTGTTGTTAAAAAGCCAATCCGCAAATTCCTGGCTTAAGTTACAGTGGCTAGAAGAGCCCCCGGATTTCTCAGAGCGACGAAGGAGACAGTTAAAGTCGCCACCAATCGCCCATGGTTCCGAGATTCTGTTCGCCAGCCTGTCCAAGTCTGTCCATAACTTCTTACGAGTCGACACGTTAGGGCTAGCATACACGAAAGTTACCAAGCTACTAACATTATTTTTGGAAGCTCGAACATGAATCCATTGACGAGAGTATTCTAGGATATCAAGTCTCAAATCATCATTCCATAGCAGCCATATGCCTCCTGAGAACCCCTGGGCTTCAATGCGGAAAGAGTTCTCGAATTTGCTATAGCGCATAAAAAGGTCCGCGTTCTTCCCACTTATACGTGGTTCAAGTAGGGCAATAATATCTGGTTTGTAATTTTGGATAAGGGTAGTGAAAGCTCCCCGGAATTCGGGCGAGCCTGCACCCTGTACATTCCAAGTTACTATATTCATTGCGAAGCTATTTACAGAAAAACGGCAAGTCGCCATTAATTGCGGTCTTGGATCTGCATGTCCGAACATTCTTCCATGCACTGAAGCGCTTCGGGGCTTTCCGTTGAGTTCTTCTGTTGGTTTGGGTCCTCTGGCCATGGTTCCTGACGTCTAATGTTCTGCTCGCCTTCCGACATTATTTCGTCTCCAGCGGGTTCCACAGTAGACGTAGGTTGAGAGCTGTTGGTAGAATATGATTGTACCTGTTCTTCTTGTATCGTAACTGCTTTGTGTTTGATCGGGTTTAACCCAGCTCCAACTGTGATAATTCCTGTTTGGGCCCGTGTTTGGACTTGGGTAAGAGGCCCATCATTAACCGGTTTTGACCTTTCCTTGTTATTACTCGGCCCGCTTTGTCTATGGGCCTCAGTCATAATGGAAGGAGATGCTTCCATTGGCCCAGTTTCCCTTGATGGTTCCCTAACCTCACGCCCTATCCCGTTTCCACTTTTAGCCTGAGCCTGAGATTTTCCTTTCCTTGTAACCACGCGCCAATCGCGTTCCCCTTGATTCCCAGCGATCGTTAGCCCAATATCTTCCCTATTTCTCTCCGCAGATGTTGCCCCAAATTCAAAGACCTGATTTGATTCTCTGGCACCTTCCTTTCCCAGGATATCAAACCGTGATCCCAGACCCCCTCTTGATTGCGGATTTTTCGCGGAGTGCGTCCTATCCGGCCCCTTATCCCGCCTCGAGTGTGTCTGACGTGGACGTTGTGGGACCTGGATCCACGGCCCGTATAGCGGTTCCTCACCGCCACCCTCCGACGTTGTCCTATTTGCCGATCCCTCGGTATTACCTTTCGCACTTCTAGCAGATCCGTCATCTGGCATTCCTACTCCATCTTTATCGTGTGTTTGCGGGTTGTGGCAACAGGTGTTATCGGAGTGGCCTATTCTTCCGCACTTGAAGCAAATAACCGGTAAATTCTCATAAACCACACGCTGCGTTCTCCCATTAATGGTGAAGCTCACGCACAGAGGTTTCGTTAGGTCAACTGTAACAGCAAGGCGAGCGAATTTTCCTCTGGTTAGGGCCGCTGTTTGTTGATCTACTTTAACTACCTTGCCCACGATTCGGCCGATTGTACGGAAGATCTTATTGTGATACAAGTGAGCCGGCATTCCGGGCAGCCTGATCCACGCTACCGTGGAAGTTAACTCCTCCTTAGTCGCGTCAAAGTCCAGCGTCCAAGGCTGCACGTGCATGTAGCTACTTCCAACCACGTATGGCCCTCCAGTGAGTACCTTAACCGTATCATCATGGTTCCTAAAGTGAATCAGGTAAAATCCGTTCTCAAGATCCATCATGTTGCATCCGGCCATAAACGGCCACATCTTAGTTAGTCGATTGTACAGGGATGCCATGATGAGTGATTCGTCGAAGGGTTTCAACACCACCGCAAACTGCCAATCCTTATTGATTTGGTCAAAGAATCTTTTGGCAATTCGTATCTCTGGCATGGGGCGAGATAGATCTACACTGATGTCTTCATCATCTACTGCCACCTCATCCGCGTTCATATCCACATGGTTTCTGTGTTTGTTAACCATGTCTCGGAATGTCCATTTCTGCGGTTGTGGGTCGTTCGTTAACTCCTGTGGTGTCTGCTGGTTCGTAGAGGTCTGTTGGTTTGTAGAGGTGTGTTTGTTCGTAGGGGTCTGATGGTCTAGGAAATCTCCAGACCGTTTGAGAGTTTTTGACCGTTTAGTAGCCGGCAGCATGTTCCGATCCAGTGGTGGGAATTCTGTGTTCTGTGTAGAGCACTGCGAATTATCTCCCGGATCAAAGGTCGCTGTACCAACGCTATGCGTGATGGGAGTATTGAGAGCGTTTTTTTCAGTCATTGTTCAAAACTTAAGTCATTCTTTTGTTTCTATTAATATATAATTATTAAGTATTGTTTATCCTCCTCTTTAATTTATAATTATTAATTATTATTTATTCTTTCTCTTTTTAAATAGAATTAATAGTAATTTTCACTTCCGCTATTGAGTGACTCGAACTCGAAGTCTATTTATAATAGTATTAATTTAATATTGTTCTCGTGTATAGAAAGCTGCTGACTAGTGACTAGTGACTACTCCCTCATTCGCTTTGTGCCACATATTGAGAAAATCTCTTCAGAAAAACTGCCTAAGAAAAAATAAATAAATAAATAAAAATCTCAGGTGCTCACTTTACACCACCACCACCACTCTCTCGTGTGTGTCACTGTACATCTTTTTCATTTTCCTCTTTTCGTTTGTACCCTTTCTAAGTTTTGGTGTCCTGTTGAGCAAGAGAAGACCCAAAAAAATCCAATCTTTATCAATTAGTAATGTGTTTCGTTTTCGATTTGATTCAGGCAACAGCAATGGGTTGTGGGTTCTGAAAATTTCAAGAATGGAAAAGGGTTCATCGTCCTCGTCCTCGTCTTCTTCTGCATCTGCTAATAATGGTGGGCCCGACTCTCTCAACGGCTTGAAATTCGGCAAGAAAATCTATTTCGAGGGCCGCGTGACATCGGGCTGAAGCCCAGAAGCGGCAGCGGGCCTGCGGCGGCGCTGCCGCCGTCTCCGGCGAAGAGGTCGAGGGTTGGGTACGTGCAGCCGCCGAGGTGCCAGGTGGAGGGCTGTAAGGTAGATCTGAGTGATGCTAAGGCTTACTATTCCAGGCACAAAGTGTGTGGTATGCATTCCAAGTCTGCAAAGGTAATTGTTGCTGGGCTTGAGAAGAGGTTTTGCCAGCAGTGCAGCAGGTCAGAATTTTCTTTTCCTTTATTTTTTTTAAATTAAATTTTCAGTTTTTATTTATGCTTAGCAGTTTTTCTTTGTATTTTCTTAGAATGTCAACTTTTGGATTTAATTTGATTCAGTAGTAACATACATTTAGTTGGAGATACATTTGTGATTGGTATGTGGCTGGTTTTATGTTGGTTTGTGGGGATTGAGGAGAATTTGGTTGTGTTAAATTGCTTGCATTGTGATTGAGTTGTGCTGTTCTTCTTTTTGAGTTCCTTCTACATATTGCATTCTTGTTTTTCAATTCATGATGCTTTTCGGGCTTCCGAATTTTCTTAGTGGGTCAAGAGAAAAGTAAATACTTCCAGTATAGCTTGAAAGATTGATTTCAGCATTGAGGAATTTGAGATTATGCCTATATGTACAGAATAAAATAATAAGGAATTAAGAATTTGGATAGGCAAATTAGGTTGGGGAAACTATATAGATAAAGTTGTGCTCGAATGGCAAAACGTTTCTTTTGTGCTGAAGTTCTCTGAAATGCTTACAGAAGATACATGTCTCACAAATTCTACGGCCGTGAAGGATACGACTTACGATTATCACACGGATTTTTATTATATTCTCTCTTCCATAGTAAATTTCCTGAAAAATCAATATGCCTACGAGAAATGCCGAAAATAAGTAATTCAAAGCTATTATTATGATACAAAGTGAGCTTTTTATTGAAAGTTTCACTCTACCATTACCTTATTGTTTTGATAATAGCTTCTTTGTTAGCAATCCTTCAGATTCCATCTATTGCCTGAATTTGATGAAGGAAAACGGAGCTGTAGAATGCGCCTTGCGGACCATAACGAGCGTAGGCGAAAGCCCCAGCAAGGATCTCTGCTTTCTCCTCGTTGTGGAACTCTTTTACCTTCAGTATTTGGTTAGACATCATTGCGTAATTTCGGAAGAAAAATGTAGCATTTTGTAATTAGGCTAGATTTCAGGGGTTAACTTTTTGCTCAAACTGATCACATATTTTGTTTTTTTCAAACTTTACCGTGGCAGATAACCACCACTTTAGCAAAACAGGAGGCTTCGTGATGGACTTCAGCAACTACAAGCCGCCATCCCTCACGGGAAGACTAACAACGAACCAAACCGCCATGTCAGCAAAATCCCATCTCCCAATGCCAAGCAATCCGCAAAACCTTCCGCCCGACCTTCTTACGAGCAGGCAGAGTTACTCTTCTTCGGTGGTGTCCGAATGTTTTGTTGGAGTCCAAGACACCAACAGTGCTCTCTCTCTTCTGTCAAATCAGGCCTGGACCGTGGGCCCAAAAGCCCGTCTTGGGCCGAACAGCAATTTTCTGGGTCAGCCGTCAGAAAATCCCAGCCCGGCCGCTGGCAACTTCATTTGTCCTTCGTGGGGTTTTAAGGGCAACGAACATGGGATGGCCCCAGATTTGGGCTTGGGCCAGGTTCTGAATGGTGGGTACAATGGAGGGCTTGAGTTGGGCCAGCCGAACGATGGGGGATTTCATGAGCTGGATGTCCATCATGTGAATTGGTCCCTTTGAGTTGTAATGTGTGTAAGTGTTGTTTTTCAGTGACTGGAATATGAAGTCTTGTGGGCTTTTTTCTTTTATGTTCTATTCTCATTAAATTTATACTTAAAATCTAACTCAATTTTAATCCAACTCCACTATCGTTAATATTGTTTATATAATTAAATTATACAAACTAATCATTCTTACACATCAATTAACTTTAATTCACTATTCATCCACTCACATAATTTTAACTACCTATCATTTTAAATCATTTATCTCATACTTTTACATCAAATCAATTTTAATTATTTTATTTTAAATATTATTTTAATACATTCTTAAAATTCCACTAACAACTAACCATACCACTTTTTTCAAAATTAACTATGGTTAACCAAAATAACTCATTTTGAACAAATTATTCCATAAACAAGCGCCCCTAAGAAATTAACACTTATTATATGATTAACTAGAGGGAAATGAAAGTTATGAATAAAATCCAAAATCCTAAATGGAAATGTACACCATGGGCATGTTAAGTTGCTAACACTGTCAGGATATGGTGATCTCTATTTAAATTAATTACACCAATCAATCAACAACTAAAAAGATATCTAATTTAAACGAACTAAAACTAGAAACATGCATACCAAATGGTTTCTGGCTAAGCAGAAAACTAAAGAATTGCAAATTAAAACTTCTATTGGTACATAATTAAGTGTGAAGTTTTGAATTTAACATACAAAATATTTAGTTTCTTGTATGTTAACATAATTATTAAAACATTATAAGTAAATTTTATAGAATAACTAATGTTTATCCTTGTAAAGGATGAAGAGAGTAGTCCTATTACATTTTGTAAGTTACAAAAAAAATCTCATCACAAATTTTGGAATAAACTAAAATAGTTGAATATTATATAGTCAACAATAATTAGTTTTAATAAATAAAAAAGTAAATATGTTTATTTTTATAAAAAAAAACAATTAGTACAAATAAATAACTTTTATAATAAAAAATAAATATAATTATCAAAATTAGTGTTATATTAATATAAATTGGTAACGGACTAACTGATTAACTACAACAGTACCTAAATATTTCAAACAAAAAAATCTCTAATTTAAATATCTAACCATGACATTATTTATTTTATTCCTGACTAATAATAAATAAATGCATCAAATATGGGAATTTGCTATTTACAAAGATTCTACTACTTACATATACTTATATATTTAAAATTCAATACATATAAATTTATAATTTAGGAATTATATTTTTATATTTTAATTAATAATTAAATAATCTTAGAATTTACAAGATTGAAGTATATTAAGTTAATTATTTAATTATTTTATGATTGGTCGGAAAAAGTGTTCGTAGAGAGCTGATCTGGATGGCGATAAAAAAATTGATGATGACGAGGTGATCAGTCCAAAAAAGAATTCAATTACTAACTAATCGTCACTGCTGAAATATTATTCTAAGAGAAAGATGATGACGAGGTGATGAGTCCAATAAAGAATTTAATTCCTAACGAATACTATTATAAGAAAAAGTTGTTCGGTGAATAGAGCTCATAAAAAACAAAAAATGCTAAGAATGAAGACAAAGAAAAATCTGCTCAAGCAGAAAATGATATTGAAGAAGATGAAGAGATGATTGATAATATTAATTTACGATGATGAAAACAACTCCGAGACATAGGACATTGTATATAAAAAATGTTCAATATTGTTTACACATTAATTGCAATTGTTCCGTTAATGAATTTTTTTTTTCGCATTTGCATTTGCACAGGCAACTAGTAGTAAAAGCGTACGTACACCTGCGTACAATAGTCCACAGTCCACACGGTAGCAGCCGCAGCAGATTAAAACCCGACTGTACTTCGCACGTATAGCGCACGCGCCTGTAACCACATAACCGTTTCGCAGCTTGCTTTTCTTCTTCACTTCTTTCAGCTGCTGCTTCATCTTCGTCCTATGCTCAACCAACTCCCCTTTCTCTCTCTAAAGAGGTAACCTAACACAAAATTACTCCATAATCATCTAAGAAATCGCGACCATACCTTTAATTCGGATTATGCCCTCATGCACTTGTACGTAGCCTCGAATTTTAAACGAGATTTTTCTCCATTTTTAGCATTTTTTCACTGAATTTTGCAGAAATCCTTTGATCGATGCACTTTCTATGTGTGTTTGTGTGTGTCTTTTGTGAAAGACACGGTGAATTTGTTCATCATATCGCGTTTTTGAATTACGTTCTTAGATTTCCAAGCAGCAAACATTTCGCATTACTCTCTGTTTTTTTTTTCTTTTCGTTTCTCAGTAGTATTTGGTTAAGTACGCAGCCATGAATGTGTGCTTGAAAGCGTCTGCACACACAAAAGCACGCATAAAGAATAGTGTGATGTTTTGCGGCGGCTCGTTTGTGTAATTTAGTTATTTTTGCTTGTGATTGAAGCTTGAAGCAGAACAATTGGGAAATACTTTTCTCGATCTTCACATCTTCAGTTGTGCGAAGCTTCATTAAATGATATCGAGCTTTATTAACAGTGAATTCAACCTTTTTTCAGTCCGCTTATTTCTGATGCTAATAGTTTTCCTTTTCCACTGTGTTTTTTTTTTTTTTTTACTAGAAATTAGAAACTTCGGAGCTGTATGATTCTTAGCTGTTTCTTACGTGAGGCAAAGATACAAAAATGGCTAATAAGCACTTGTGCTTTCTGATTGCGTCTTTTTACTGTGCGTTTATGGGACTCCGATCTTGGGCGATCACCGATGGATTAGAAGGTAATTAGTCTTCATATTCATTTCATTATGATACTCAATATGATATTATGAGTCTTCTTACGTGTTTATTTCATAGCTCTGATCTCTAACATTTTAAGACTAAACACCATATAGTAATGTATATCGAGACTAATTTATTTCGCTTTTGTTTCACTTGGAAAAAACGAAAGAAATAATACTTAACTCGCATATTATGCAGTTCAAGCTCTTCAAGATCTGTACCGATCCTTAAACAGACCAACTAAACTTGAGCATTGGAAATCAGAGGGTGGGGATCCTTGTGGAGAAACTTGGTTAGGAATTGATTGCTCCGGCTCATCCATAATTCACATGTACAGCTTCATTATCCACAGTAATATTAGCAAAATTTAATCCTGAGGTTTTAGATTTATTGCAGAAAAAAACCAGACATTTCTCAGAAGTACATTTAAGAGGGCTTTTGTATCATTGGAGGAGAAATGGAGTTTTTGCACTTAGGCTAAACCTCAGATTAATATTTACGATTAGATGTTTTATGTGTTTCTTTTTCAGGAACCTTCATGGGCTGGGACTCACCGGAAATCTTGGAGTTCAGCTTTGCAATCTAAACAGCCTGATGAATCTGTAAGAAAGTTGAGGGGAAATTGGTCCAAAACTCTAGCCTAATAACTAAATAGCCCCAGTTCTTTTTAAAAGTTATGTTTCTCCTCAAGTCTTTGTAACTCTGAGAGATAATGGGGGGTATGTAGTAATTAGTCAGGGGTTGATTTTGCAACTTTCGCACTAGTTATATCCGTGTTCTTGATTCAATAGTATGCGAGTCAAGTCCCTTCTAATCATTTCACGGTTGTGTAAACTTTCCTTCTTTTTATTAGGGACCTTAGTGCAAATAACATTGAGGGTTCAATCCCCTACAGTTTACCTCCTAATCTCACATATCTGTAAGATGATACTCATCTAGCTTCGGTGATTTTAGCAACTAATGCAAACAGCACATGGTTTTTACATAAACATTTCAATCGATACAGAAACTTAGCTGAGAACAAATTCAGTCAAAGCTTTCCATACTCGTTGGACAAGATGAAAAATCTCCGGCATCTGTAAGAATATGACTTTCTTTCATGAGATATTTATTTTCATGATCCTAAAATTAGGACACTCCCATTAATCAGCTGTATTTTACTTTATTCTTCTTTATTCTAAGTCATATTGTTCTCGTTGCAGGAACCTGAGCCACAACTTATTAGCTGGGCCCTTGGGTGATGTGTTTAACGGCCTTCAGGATTTGAAACTAATGTATGGTACTTCCAATTTTGTTATGAGTAGATACAAATATGAATATAGAGATGACCAAACTATACTTTATAAATGAAATTTCTTGGTCGTCAGGGATTTGTCGTTCAATAACTTCACAGGCGATCTTCCAACTTCCTTTGAATCCTTGACAAACCTCACACAATTGTGAGTTAATTCTTCAGTTCCTCTGAATAATCCTCATTATATGTACGCAGAAGCAACTGATAATAAGTTAATTTCTTAGGTTTTTGCAGAATAACCAGTTTACTGGATCAGTGATTTTCCTTGCCAATCTCACACTCTCTTACTTGTATGTGACCAATAAAAACTTCTAAGACCCTGTTGCCATTCATATCAGCCATTCATGCGCTTACCCGTTCGTCCATTTTGCAGGAATATTGAAGATAACCATTTCAGTGGAGTTATTCCGGAACACTTTCAAACAATAGAACACTTGTGGTATGCATTCAAGTCCTCCATGTCTGTTTTCATAAACACTCAACGAAAAAAGTGAACATCATCTATGAACTGCATATAATTAATTTTTTTCATAAGTTTACTTTTACATGCAAATAAAACACTCATGATAAATCACTTAATCTAAAGGCACAAAATATCTATCTCCAGGATTGGAGGAAATACGTTTCACACGGGACCAAACTACCCGCCATGGAGTTTCCCCTCCGACCTGATGCCAAAAGAAAAAAATATCAGCAGCCCACCAGATACAAACTTGAGCGCTGTAGAAAACCATCAGTCTCAGAAAACTGAAGATCACAAGAACAAGAAAATCCATGTAGTGGGGATAGTTCTTCTGTCGATTGGTGGAGTAACTCTGGTTGCGGCATTTGGGGCTCTTGCTGTAATATTTCACAGGCAGAGGGTATGTAAGAAAATGTCGAGAAGCATGGTGGGCAGGGAGGAGGATTCACTGAGATCTCTACCTGACGAGACAGTGCAAGGTGAGATGTTGCAACTTTCTTAAGGTAGACATGTTTCAGTTAGTGAAAAAAAAAAAACAAAATTGTGATCTTATGTATATTTGTTTTCACCATTACACAGGAGTAGAGTTTAGGTCAATCAGCACATATGGCAGCCCCCACGTGTCTGGTTTCACTTCTTCTCCCATGGTCACACCCTCCTGGCTGCCTCCCGTTCGAACTAAAACGCTTAAAGTGTCCAGGAGAAAAAGCTTCGCCAAGACTATAACAATGGTCGGTGTGAAAGCATACACAGTTGCAGAGCTTCAGATTGCAACAAACAGATTCAGTGAGGAGAATTTCATTGGTGAGGGATCCCTTGGTCCTGTTTATAGAGCAGAGTTTCCAAATGGCAAGGTAATATTAACAAAAAAAAAAAAATCCTGTAATTCTAGATTATATCTTTGTGCTGAGTATAAAACTACCAGAGGTTTCATTTATCATACTATTATTTTCTACTTGGATAGATTTTGGCTGTGAAGAGCATAAAGACAATACCTCTATCCATCATCGAGGAACAACAATTCTTTGACGTAATCAAGAACGCATCACGTTTGAGGCACCCTAACATTGTGACACTCGTTGGGTTCTGTATGGAACATGGCCAGCATCTCATTGTGTATGAATACATAAGGAATTTGTCGCTCGACGAGGCTCTGCATTGCCTCGCAAACACACCTCTGTCTTGGGGTTCACGCCTTACGATTGCTCTTGGCGTGGCACAAGCTCTGAAGTAAGCAAATAATGTCTTTCTCTGTACAACATAGTTTAAACAGGTAATGTATCTTATAATAATTGTCTCACTCAGACAATGACCTTTTTTCAGTTACACACACACGTCCTTTGTGCCACCCATCGCCCACTGTAACATAAAGGCTGCGAATATCTTGCTTGATGAAGAGCTTATGCCCCACGTTTGTGATTATGGCCTAGCTATCTTGAGGCCCCTTGCCTGCAACTCAGTTAAGATCAAGGTAAAAAGCTAGGGGACTGTAAAAGTAGTTAAATTTATCTGCTCCCGTTGATCTCAAAAGTTGCAAAAGTGCAACTACAAAAACCTCGTCAGATATTATTACGGCAGTTTGAAACCAAAAGTCCCAGTTGGTTCTTCCAAATTATGATTATCCCTTTGACATATTTGTTTCTGTTTAAGAATCATATCAACAGTTGTCTGGTGTGTAAAATGTGCATTAACAGGCTTCAGAAATGGCTATAGCTGATAGCGGCTACATTGCACCTGAACATAATCAACCTGGAAATGGGAACATTAAGGCTGATGTCTATGCATTTGGGGTGTTGCTTTTGGAGCTTCTCACAGCAAGGAAGCCTTTTGATTAGTTGAGAACCCTTTTTTTTCTTAATTGAATTTCAAATCCTTTTCAAAAGAACATATCTTATTTTGTCACAATTTGCAGCTTGAAGCCAACAGCAGAGCAATCTCTGGTGAGATGGGCTTCATCGAAGCTTCACGACAGCTCGTCTTTGCTAAAGATGGTCGATCCAGCCATTGCAAGAACCATCTCCTCCAAGTCCCTCTCCCATTTTGCTGACATTGTCTCTCTCTGTATTCAGGTAATGCAAATGGGAAAAACTGCAAAATGAAAATACTTACTTCTTTCTTTCTTCCATAAATACTTACTGCAAACACCACACTTATAAGTTCCCCCAAAATGAAAAATAACCCTCTTTTTTTTTCTTCTTTCGTTCTTTCTGTGTTTTGTAAATGTGAAATCAGCCCGAGAAGGAATTCAGGCCTGCAATGTCTGAGATCGTCGAGTCTCTGATGAATCTGCTCCGACGGTCTGTTGTTGCCGATGGCAGTGAAGCAGACCCTTTGAGTAGGTCTTTTAGGTCCAGCAACACCCACTTTGTTGGCTCACCTGCTTCAAGCAATTACTGTGTATAATCTTGCTTCTTTTTTTTTTTTGGTTACCAATACTAAACGTTCTACAACAGCAGCTGCTATTGATGCTCAACACATGAATACGATTCACGAATACCAAATTCGAATCAAGAATCGAAACGAAAAATGTTTGATTCGTTTACAGCCTTAATTGCATATGCTGGATGGATGGCTTGAATAAATTCCTGCGTTTACTTTCGGTCATACCAAATGCTAATCTCTTTTCATCTGTTAAAACCGTTGGCAAAGAAAATAATTACTGTCAACAAACAGGCTAATTGAATCAATATTACAACATTACAAAATCAGTATTTATTTATTTATTTATTATACCAACAGAGAGAGAGAGAGAGAGCACATAATAAATAGCAGAAAAGTTGAGATCAAGATTCTATAATTTAAGCTGAAAATTTGTTGTCTGTGATTTGCCCCAACCAATAGCAGAAACAAACTGAAAAGGGCCAGAAAAAATTCCAACTTGGCTAATGTTTAGTTTTCATTTTTCGGAAAATAAAAAGAAGACTCGAGCAAATTTATATCCAATCCCATTACATACTCCATTACACGTGGCAGGAACCCATTCGTGCACTTAATTTTCTTTGGATCCTTCGTGGCAACTAAACAAAAAGCAAAATCATAATCTGCTCTCAGAGAGAGAAAGAGAGAGAGCTGTGGACATGGCTGCAGGGATAGCTTACTGTTGCCCTTCAGCAATTTCCTCTCGAAGGTATAATATGAGCAAAACTCTCACTTCTTTTTTCACTCTCCTGTTTTTGTCATAAATATGTGAAATTGTTGCTCTCTAGTTTACAAAAGCTACATCACAAACTTGATAGCAATATTTTTCTTCAATAGTTTACTCATGTGATTTAAGGAAATTAGGCATGTGGTTACAGCAATTTGGCAACATCCCGCTTGATCATAGGGCCTAACCGAGGACCAGCAGTGCTAGCACGGACTGCATCACGGAGAAAAAATCTGGTAATAAAAGCTGAGGTGAACTTTGTCGACTCGGAGGAGGCCAAGAAACTAATAGCAGTCGAGGGATACACGGTTGTGGACGTTCGAGACCGGACTCAGTTCGAACGGGCCCACATAAAGGGCTGTTACCATGTCCCTTTATTCATCGAAAACAAAGACAATGACTTTGGTGTGTGTGTTTTGCTATATTCAATTCATTGCCATTCTTATTATTGTTTTAGTAAATGGGTTGGTTTTTAGTTTTTACATATATGTGATGTGAGCAGGCACAATTGTGAAGAGGACCTTGCATAACAATTTCTCGGGCTTGTTCTTCGGGTTGCCTTTCACTAAACCGAACCCGGATTTCGTGCAATCGGTTAAGACCCAGTTTTCGCCCGAGAGCAAGTTGTTGCTTGTTTGCCAGGAAGGGCTCAGGTGAGCTCTGTTTCTTTGTTTCAATGAACATGAATTTTTACGAGTGTTGTTGCATTGTTCGATCATTTACCGGAAAACTAGAAATAAATCGATGCTATTAGGTTATAATTCGACTGATATAATTAGGTCTGTGGCTGCTGCAAGAAAATTGGAGGGAGCTGGTTATCAAGATATAGCCTGCATAACATCAGGCCTCCAGTCTGTGAAGCCTGGTGAATTTTCCCTTTGCTTTAGAAATGATGATATGTGCTTGATGTCAATATAGAAATTTTGATATGCAGAGAGCAACAAAATCTGTCTTAAAATGCAGGGACATTCGATTCTGTTGGTTCAACTGAGCTGCAAAATGCAGGAAAAGCTGGATTGGTTACAGTACAAGGCAAAATTTCGGCTGTTCTAGGGACTGTTCTCATATGTAAGTCATGAGTATTTTTTTTTATTTTTATTTTTTTTTTTCATTTTTTGTTTGACTGTTGTGGATTTATGTTAATTCCGTTCGTTTGGTTTGGTTTTCTTCTCAGGTGCGTATCTATTCATTACTTTCTTCCCTGACCAAGCCGAAAAGTTGCTTCAGCTTGCTCCTACGAGTTAACAGTACACTTTGCGCGATTCTGTTTTCTGTTTTCTTTATGTTTTGGGAGAGTTGAAACATTTGCCGCCTTGTAGCGTGTCATGTCAAATTGCCAACAGAAAGTATAGATTACATCAAGGTGTGTAGATGATCATAATTTTTTTATCACGTATTGCAAATGAATGCAATTAATTGTTCCAAATAGAACCTCACAACAGTGGATCTATGGAATAATTCATTTAAACATACTGGGAAATACAAGGTGATGCGTTCTACGTGCAATCTACACATGATAGGTCAAAATCATTGGACCTACTTTTATGTAGCTACCTAGATGGTGTCGAAGCCCCAACAATCTCGAATAACGAAAAAGTTACAAAAATGGAAAGCTTTCATAACAAAAGTGGAAACTGGCTGAGAATTAAATTAAAGGAAAAATGCTGAGTAAACAACTCCAATCTCCGAGTTTTGACTCTGCTTGCAGTATATGCACTTACTGTTATTCTCCCTGTAAGCAGTATAGCTGCCGGATGTTTCCTGATGCTGTCCATTCAAATAAAAGGGAATGAGCGAATGCATCACAATTCAGATACTTCGACCAAGAGTGAAATAATTAACGTCCAACAAAAACGACAGACAAGGAGAAATGGGAACATGCAATAAACTCATGTGAAACAGTATTCCGAGTATAGGGACGAATAAAATTGAAAGTATACTCAGATTAACTAGCATTGTGCATAACATAAGAAAACCAATGACTGTTTACTGTGCAAGTAGCATGTGAAAAATAAAAATTGGATCACGTTTTGAAATCATAAGATACAACAAAACAAAGGGCAACATCTGATCCACTGATGCAACTTCGCATGAATCGTTTATTCTATTCTTTTTCTTTTTTCGGAAAAGCGAAACAAGAAAATCAAAGAGCAAACAGGCATGGCACGCCTATTGAGAAGACCCGAGTTCAAAGCAAGACTATAAAGCTTTATTCAGTAGATATGTAAATCAGACAGTTACCATATCAATCTCCAAAGTCGTATAAGAGCTGGAAACATACCAAATACTATATCTCCATATAAGAGACAAACACTGATATGCTGTATAATTAACTTCATATATCATGTCATGTGAAGGAGAAACTTTCCTAAAGCAACCAGCATTACCATATAACCAATCTTTAAAACACGTGTGGATATCACTTGACAGTTCCCGTTTCCGGCTTTCTTCAAGTTGAGTTTCCCTCAAAAGTTGCTTAACCTCTTCCAGATTTTCATGCTGAAGATTCAAAAACAGAACAAGTCAACTCACCATGGGCATGCCATATGAGAACTAAACAAAATTACTAGAACATACATTTTTCTTCTGTGCTGCAAGATACGGGCCAGGTAAAGGGAAGGGGTTATCCTTCGTTCCACCACCTTCTTCACTTCCCAACCAGCTTGGGATCTGATTATTAAAGCAAAATTTATTCTTTGCCAGAAACTTATGTAACAATATAATACCCAACACAACATAATTTGGGTAAATGTGAAGAAAAATTAACTGAGTAGTCAAATTAGATGCGCTGTGCACACACTCCATATGTGATATTCCATCACCAAAACAAGCAGGCCATCGGGTTGCCACAAAATTGGTATATTGATTTGGCTCTAAGCGTGTGGCAGATTCAGCTTGAACATCCGAGACACCAGCAGGATGAGATAATGAATCGTGTGGATCGACAACTCCAAGCACCACGGGTTGGTCCCACTTGTTGATGTTAGGGTCAATCCCAACTTGAGTCAAGTGGTTCTCCAGTTGTGAGTAGAATGTGTTATAAGGTGCCACCTGACAAATATCAGATAATGTAAAATGAAATTGCACATGCAAAACTCATTTGGAAATGACAGGAGAACACCACTTCAATAACTATTTTGATGTCGACAGAGATATGCAGGGTTAGAAGCCACATGATGCGGACCAACCTGCAGTTTATGATTATCACCAACAAGAAGCGGTGGCTGGTTAACCCCCAAGAAGAATAAGCATTCACGGCAGTTAGCGATGCAGATACGTTTGGCTGCAGTAATGAGATGAACACGTTCGCAATGCTTGACTCTAACAGCCTGTATAAGACAGTTATTTGGGCGTATAATTTCTGATTTGGACATGGAGTATTAGTTAGAGGTCCATATAAAGAAAAAACTGCAAGTTCTACAATATTACACCAAAAGCATGAGTCTAACTTTAACCTTGCCAACAGCTCCAAGAACAATTGTAGCATCAGAGCATCCATAGACTGTGGCGTATCCCATTGGTGCCAATATGTAAATTACTGATTACAACCTGGTATAAATAAAACAGGCAAGAGTTTATAGTGTCAATTTCATTTGAACTTGGAAGACGAGAACTGAAAATAAAAATTTAACAAAGCAAAGAAGGAAAAAACAAGCGATTTGAGTACACTTGTGGCAGATGGTCGAAATGCAATGTCACTGGATGAGAACGATAATGAAAAGATGGTTAGGCTCAGCTCATTTTAGTCTGCCACTCACAGCATAACAATTTTACGGAGTTTACAGTTCAAATAACTAAGCAGTAATGTAGGAGCAGCTCATTTTGATACACTCTCCAAGAGACCTCAAATGACCATTTTGTGCATGCAAAACCAACCTCGGTAAACATTTCACATATAAAACAAGACCTGTCATCAAAGAAAACTTTCTGCATTAGGCTGCCAAGAACAAAAAAGTACCTTTATAGATGTAGCCTTAAGATCACTTGCTTGCTTTACATACGATGATTTGGAGATAGCCTCAATCAAACTTGGACCTCTTAGGTTGCTTAAGGGCTTCATGGTGCCAATATCAGCCATTGCGACATCTTGATCTGAAGAATTGCCGGGGCTATTTTCTTTCGAAGAAGCCCTATCAGCAATATGTTCGAGGGTAAAGGATATGTTTTGGAGAAGCCAATCAAGATCTTGTGATGCAGGAACTGGGGCAGCCGGCATGTCTGGATCTGAATTTGCAAAGAATGGAGTATTCTGGCTCACGAGGATTCTCTCAGAGCCCTTATCCCCGAAATACATCAGAAATCCAAGATGTTCAAATTTCTCCATGGATAGAACCTTGGAGAAAGAATAACTCAACAATTCAGACATGATACACAAGACAGTTACTCAGAGAATATATGTGCACCCAGTAAAGCAAAAAAATAAATAAAAATCACATACCATAGCTTCATCGCCTTCCCCTTCTGCAACATCTGCCAAGACGGAAAGAATATTGCTTAGGTGTTTCTGCAGATAAGAGAGCTGATGAGCCTCTTCGTCAGCTTGAGATGGCATCAATCGACGACTGTTACTGCGCACCAGCTGCAATAGGTAAATATCTTTAGTAGTATTCATAGAACAGTTAAAACTGTATGTGGAGTTGCATACAATGTTAACAGCTGCATCCTACGACATTTGCTTATATAAGGCAGTCAATTTATAATCCTTATCCTTGAAGGTATCAAAACTAATACATAGCAATAACATGAATATTTTCAATATATGGTCCCAAGCTTGCCAAAATCCAAACACTTTCTTCCTATACACGCATATTATAATTGAACTAAGCTGTGCTTTAATTGAAACCGCACTCAACTACGACAAAGGTCACACTTTAACAAACACCAAATGCTCAAACAAAGTAAAATTCATAACCTGTAACGGCGAAAGCACAGATAAAAACCCATCAAACGCCGAAGTAGACGGCCAAACATCAGCGACGGCAGCTGAATCCTTGTGCCCTTTCGGCAGTAACCTCTTGTAGCTCTGTACATACAGAAAAACAAGCAAATCAAACACATTACCCCAACTTCGTCGATCTCCTCCTGAGTCCTGGCCTTCACCGCGGGATCAGAGTCGTCATGCAGAACGGAAGCCAGGGTCTCGACCAATAGACGCGAATGCTCGACCGGGATATGAAGGACTTCAGCCAGGGTCTCCGGCTTGACTCAGAGACCGGAATTCGACGAGAGGAGGGTGGATTTGACATGGGATAGGGTCTGTATACCGTCGGTGAATATGAGCTTGGGGATGGGAAGGAGCCCGTACTCGAAGGGCTCTCGGCGCGGGTGGAGATAGGTGCCGGAGGTCGGGGTGCACGTTGGTTGCGGTGTCTCGGGTTGTTTCTCTGGCTGAGAATCTGCCATTACGGCGGCGCGTGGATCTGCGCGGTGGAGTTATGCGAGATTGTGCGTGCGAATATTTCCCGTTTCCTTTTATTTCTTTGATTTTCTCTTTTTTGAATGAAACTGAAATGAGTGTGAATAAAATGGAACTGTAGTAATTTTGATTATTAGTTTATTATATTATGAATAATCAAATATTCTATGGAGATTTTCTTATGGAGTCATCCACCGTATTGACACCTGTCTAAAGTGTATTTATTGCAGGACGTGTGTCAATATGCTATTGGTGAATAAGTGTGTATGACTCTATAAACCGAGCCATCCGATGGCTCCATAGCAAAACTGTATGAATAATATGGTTAGCTTCAAATACTCGAACTTTACCTTTATTCCAATTTCCAACTTCGGCTATATATATATATATATATATATTTTATTTTTATTTTTATTGTTTTAGTAAAAAAAAGAGGCCAAAAGTCTACGAGCTCGTTTCATTAAACAATTCTATTTATAATTAATCAATAGAAAAGATAAGAAACTGAACAGATTGCTAGTTTATGTTCTTCAAAAATAATGATAATAGTAAATTGAAAACAAAAAAATGAAAAGAAAATAAATTGGGCCTAGTCTAGAACTTTTGATGCTCGGCTCTTATTTTATTGTTCTCGTCCATAAAGTACATCAGATATATAATATACACACTCCTTAAGATGTTGTTCCAGAGTAAATACTTAAGTTAATAGACCAGTAAGGAGCTTCAACCAATTATCACCCAATTCCTCTTTCTAGAAATAAAAAGTATCTCATGAAAGAAAATTATATGGAAAACATAGATAATTCAAAAATAAATTAGATAATAAGATAAAAATATAGTGAATAAATCAATATAACGTATAATTAGTAAGAAAATAAATGTCAGTTATAAATATGTGATTCGATAAATAGTAACTTTTGTAGTAATGATCGAATTATATTGTTAACTATACTAGTAATCAACCTGTGCATTTACACAGAGAATAATACGTTAAAAAGATAACAAAATAAAAAAAAAAACAAAAATAAATCATAATTTAATTCATGAAAAAAATATGAATTAAGAAAATAATTCTCAAAATTGATTTTGATCAAGTAATTGTTATGGAAGAACCATTATAACCATTATCTTTATGCTAACTAGTACAGTACCCGTGCGATGCACGGGGGTTTATTATTCCCGTCCCTTTTAAAAAGTAATTTTCAGTTAAAATTCAAAGTACGAAAAATCATGTCCTTAATAATTAATAAATTAATAAATATAATGAAAATAAAGTCTATATATAATTGAACATTTCTTTATATATAACGTTCATGATTTGATTCTTTTACGCGTCATCGTCGCCACAAATTAGGATTTTCAAACCATTTATGCTTGTGACACGGGAGACAACAGCATACAACTGGCCATGACAAAATATTAATTTTTTAAGAAATAAGCCCACATGCAAATAGTTGTCCCTCACTCTTATTTATAGTCATTGCGTAAGAAACCATAATGGGAAACTGCCGACGCTGGAACTTGAAAGGAATTCTAATATCCAAAGGAAAGATGGTCATTCTTGGAATCAACACTTTATCACCTGCGTGATCGCCAATGAGTATCTTACACTCGACAACGTGAGTGGAGAGCTTTGTCACAATCAATCGTGTCCCATTACACAGATCCATAGAGGAGATATAGATACAAATATCAAGTTAAAAAAGATCAGATAACTTTAAGAAATAAGATCATGCTTATCAATTATATTATTCAAACCCTTATCCGAGTAGTTACTTGTTTTCTAGATATATATTTGTAACAACCATTAGTAGTTTGGATAGTGTAGATTATATAAATCAATAAAATACTGGTATAAAATATAAATTCAAAATTGATTTACGTCAGGTTTTTAAGTTGAGTATGATTTATTTTTCTAAATAATGTGATTACGATTGACTTCAAAAAATATGTTTATCCATTTTTGTTAAAACAAAAACAAAAACAAAAAATGTGCAACGTGCTACATGTGTCTCGGATTTTGTCGATTAACGAAAATTATGTGCAATATCAATGTGACATAATGTTTACCAAAACTAATAGAGTTTGTTACAATTTAATTTGGTAAACCTCTTTGGATTGATTGAAAAATTATTTTTTAATTTCAATATGTAGCATATATCAAATCTCGAGATTTTTCTGCAATATTTAACTCCAAAGAATTCGAAAAAAATGTGAAATTTGTTACCAAAAGAAATTCCAAAGATTATCGACAATATATTGTGTGTAAATAACTATGAAGTGTTACCAAATAAACCAATATTTTAAAGGATTTGTCATCACAATCAGATCAAATTTGTTAACGAAATTCGAGATTATTTATCAAAATAAGATCAAATTTATTACCAAAATCCAATTAATTTAGTTGACATGTGGGGCCCATTGATATTGCTTATATTAGTAAGTCAACGATTAATTTTTTATTTTGAAGATTATGGGTCATATCAATGTGACATAATATTTAGCAAAATTAATGGAGTTTGTTAAAATTTAATTTGGTAAGGCTTTTTGGATTGATTGAAAAATAATATTTTTATTTTGATATGTATCATTTATCAAATCTCGGGATTTTTTCTACAATATTTAACTCCAAACAATCCAAAAAAATTGTGAAATTTGTTACCAAAAGAAATCCCAAAGATTATCGGCAATATATTGTGTGTAAATACCTATGAAATGTGTTACCAAAAAAACTGATATTTTAAATGATTTGTTATCAAAATCCGATATTTGTTATCACAATTAGATCAAATTTGTTAACAAAATTCGAGATTTTTTATTAAAATAAGAAATTTGTTACCAAAATCCAAGATTTGTTATCAAAACGCGATCAAATTTGTTACCAAAATCCGATTAAATTGGTTAACATGTGGGGTCCATTGATATTGCTTATATTAGTAAGTCAACAATTAATTTTTTATTTTGAAGATTATGTGTCATATCAATGTGACATAATGTTCACCAACATTAATGGAGTTTGTTACAATTTAATTTGGTAAGGCTTTTTGGATTGATTGAAAAATAATATTTTTATTTTGATAGGTATCATTTATCAAGTCTCGAGATTTATTCTGCAATATTTAACTTTAAACAATCCGAAAAAATTATGAAATTCGTTACCAAAAGAAATCTCAAAGATTATCGGCAATATATTGTGTGTAAATAACTATGAAGTGTGGTACCAAAAAAATCGATATTTTAAAAGATTTGTTATCAAAATTGAAGAATTGTTATCACAATCCGAGATTTGTTATCACAATCAGATCAAATTTGTTAACAAATCTGAGATTTCTTATCAAAATAAGATCAAATTTGTTACCAAAATCCAAGATTTGTTATCAAAATCGGATCAAATTTGATACCAAAATATGATTAAATTGGTTGACATGTGGGGTCCATTGATATTGCTTATATTAGTAAGTCAACAATTAATTTTTTATTTTAAAGATTATGTGTCATGTCAATATGACATAATGTTTACCAAAATTAATGGAGTTTGTTACAATTTAATTTGGTAAGGCTTTTTGAATTGATTGAAAAATAATATTTTTATTTTGATATGTATCATTTATCAAATCTCAAGATTTTTTCTGCAATATTTAACTCCAAACAATCCAAAAAAATTGTGAAATTTGTTATCAAAAGAAATCCAAAAGATTATCGGCAACATATTGTGTGTAAATAACTATGAAGCGTGTTACCAAAAAAATCGATATTTTAAGAGATTTGTTATCAAAATCCGAGATTTGTTATCACAATCCAAGATTTCTTATCACAATCAGATCAAATTTGTTAACAAATCCGAGATTTCTTATCAAAATAAGATCAAATTTATTACCAAAATCGATCAAATTTGTTACCAAAATTCGATCAAATTTGTTGACATGTGGGACCCATTTGCTTATATTAGTAAGTCAACAATTAAATTTTTATTTTGAAGATTATGTGTCATATCAATGTGACATAATGTTTACCAAAATTAGTGGAGTTTGTTACAATTTAATTTGGTAAGACTTTGGATTGATTGAAAAATAGTATTTTTATTTTGATATGTATCATTTATCAAATCTCGAGATTTTTTCTGCAATATTTAACTCTAAACAATCGAAAAAATTGTGAAATTTGTTACCAAAAGAAATTCCAAAGATTATCAACAATATATTGTATGTAAATAACTATGAAGTGTGTTACAAAAAAAAAAAAAAATCGATATCTTAAAAGATTTGTTTTCAAAATCCGAGATTTGTTATCACAATCAGATCAAATTTGTTAACAAAATCCGGGATTTGTCATCAAAATAAGATCAAATTTGGTAACAAAATCCGATATTTGTTATCAAAATCGGATCAAATTTGTTACCAAAATCCAATTAAATTGATTGACATATGGGGTCCATTGATATTGCTTATATTAGTAAATCAACAATTACTTTTTTAAGTCAAAATTACTATTTTTTTATTTTTCCAACAACCTCTTTATCTTACTATAGATATCTATAACAAACTTTAGTTTATTTGTATAGTGTGGATTTTATTAATATTGAAAATATTTGAGATAATCAATTTAAATTATCAATCCAATTTTAACACTATTAAATAGTATCTATTACTCCCTCTGTTTTAAATTAATTGTCTTTCTAACTCAAATAACAAATTACGTATTGGAAGAAAGTCGTTATCTTACTATCATTCTACTCCTTATCAGTTTTACTTTTATAGTTATCAGTTTAAATCTTCTAAATCTTGTATAATTTTTTCTCTCTCCTTATCATTTTGATAGTAAATTATATCTGTAGTTCCATTATAGTTAATCTGTTATGTGACATAACAAAAAAACATAATTAGCAAACTGTGTTGAAATGACAATTAATCTACAAATTTTTAGGATATTAGATAGTTATAAACCTAATTAGTTCATAGTTATCTAAAATAATAATTAATAAGCAAAAAGAAGTTTACACTCAAACGACAATTAAAATAAAACGGAGGGAGTATTTGTTTAGTCGTGTAGTTTGTAGATGTATATCTCTAACAAACAAAGCGAGATTT